ACAGCATTAGGCTGCTTGTTAGACAGCATTACGCTGCTTGTTAGACAGCATTACGCTGCTTGTTAGACAGCATTAGGCTGCTTGTTAGACAGCATTACGCTGCTTGTTAGACAGCATTACGCTGCTTGTTAGACAGCATTACGCTGCTTGTTAGACAGCATTAGGCTGCTTGTTAGACAGCATTAGGCTGCTTGTTAGACAGCATTAGGCTGCTTGTTAGACAGCATTACGCTGCTTGTTAGACAGTATTACGCTGCTTGTTAGACAGCATTACGCTGCTTGTTAGACAGCATTACGCTGCTTGTTAGACAGCATTACGCTGCTTGTTAGACAGCATTACGCTGCTTGTTAGACAGCATTAGGCTGCTTGTTAGACAGCATTAGGCTGCTTGTTAGACAGCATTAGGCTGCTTGTTAGACAGCATTACGCTGCTTGTTAGACAGCATTACGCTGCTTGTTAGACAGCATTACGCTGCTCGTTAGACAGCATTAGGCTGCTGACTTCTGCAGATGGAAGGGTGCTGCTGACTGACTGACTGACTGACTGACTGGGCCATATTTGATTTTCAAATGAAGGGCCTGCTTGGGCATTTTCATAACTTCTGGTCATTTCTTCCAAAGAGAGATGTTTTTTACACAGTTACAGTACTTTGTAGGCAACATAATGAACCAATGTTTCTCCTGTAAATCGTTCTAGAAAGAAAGACATTGCATGTACCTTGAATTGCAGTACTGTATAATTAGTATTGTGCACATTGCAATTTGGTTCTTCGTTGTTTTCATACAAGTGGAGTTATTCACAGAACTGAGGCAACTGCCAAAATAGCATTGAATTTCTAGACAGAGAATGTATGGTTAATACTCCCTGAACCCCAGTGGTAATAGTGCTTATGGATTGTTTTATGCTTGGTTAATATTCTGATATGCAGCATGCATGAATCTAGTTGAATTTCAGGATGATAAGCTGTAGTGTTTTCTGAATAGCCCCTGGGCCGACGCTAGCCGAGTCAAGTCATCATGCCTTCTAGCTAGAATTGATGCCCTTCCCGTTTTATTTCTGGCCGATACAATTCAACCTCTATTGGCCAGTCAAGTAGCCTGGAAAGTAGTCACACATTGATATGGCTGTTATCTGATTGGAATGGTTCTGCAGCCTGGGGCCTGGACTTGGCTGCAGCACATGGACCCAGAGGGGATATCCTGTACATCGGACCTATGCATCAATGTTCTTAAAGCTTGAATAGTTCACAGCATTTCTACATATTACTGCCAGTCAACTAACTAACGCTAAAACAGTTCCAGGTGAAAAAAAGGTATTTGGAGAGAGAAATAGCTAGCAACGGTAGGTAGAGATATGATATTATATCAAGAGAACGTGAGAGGTTGGTTTGGGTCCGTAATGCTTCTGAGCTGTGCCACGTTGCATAGATCCAGTATGTTGAAGCGTCATGCAGGACAGGAGGGTGCAGGACAGAGAAAAGGGCCGTGTTCCAGAACATAAAAACCGTGATGTATCATGGGTAAATTGTGACTGATTGACCTACAAATAATATTGAGTAGTTATTTATGATGCAAGGTGATTTGCAGTCTCGACTCGTATTTCAAGTCGGCTGCAATGTTGAACGCGCCCTATGACTGTCCCAAATGGCAACCTGGTCCCTCTGTAGTGCACTAGGGAATAGGGTGCCATTTGGGACAGACCCCAGCAGGCCAGACATGGTCAGAGGTCAGATGTACTTGTTGGCCAGGTTCTGCACATCGTTCTTACTGAAGGTATCGCTGTCCACAGCAGACAGACGGTCAAACAGCCGAGTCATCTGACCACGTTCACTCTTCTCTAGCAGCGTCCCAACTACCTGTTAATACACAGAGACGGGTTAACACCGCGTCACAACTACCTGTTAATACACAGAGACGGGTTAACACCGCGTCACAACTACCTGTTAATACACAGAGACGGGTTAACACCGCGTCACAACTACCTGTTAATACACAGAGACTGGTTAACACAGCATCACAATTACCTGTTAATACACAGAGACGGGTTAACACAGCGTCCCAACTACCTGTTAATACACAGAGACGGGTTAACACAGCGTCCCAACTACCTGTTAATACACAGAGACGGGTTAACACAGCGTCCCAACTACCTGTTAATACACAGAGACGGGTTAACACAGCGTCCCAACTACCTGTTAATACACAGAGACGGGTTAACACAGCGTCCCAACTACCTGTTAATACACAGAGACGGGTTAACACAGCGTCCCAACTACCTGTTAATACACAGAGACGGGTTAACACAGCGTCCCAACTACCTGTTAATACACAGAGACGGGTTAACACAGCATCACAACTACCTGTTAATACACAGAGACGGGTTAACACAGCGTCCCAACTACCTGTTAATACACAGAGACGGGTTAACACAGCGTCCCAACTACCTGTTAATACACAGAGACGGGTTAACACAGCGTCCCAACTACCTGTTAATACACAGAGACGGGTTAACACAGCGTCCCAACTACCTGTTAATACACAGAGACGGGTTAACCAGCATCACAACTACCTGTAATACACAGAGACGGGTTAACACAGCGTCCCAACTACCTGTTAATACACAGAGACGGGTTAACACAGAGACGGTAACAGGTCCCAACTACCTGTTATACACAGAGACGGGTTAACACAGCGTCCCAACTACCTGTTAATACACAGAGACGGGTTAACACAGCATCACAACTACCTGTTATACACAGAGACGGGTTAACACAGCGTCCCAACTACTGTTAATACACAGAGACGGGGTTAACACCGCATCACAACTACCTTTTAATACACAGAGACGGGTTAACACAGCATCACAACTACCTGTTAATACACAGAGACGGTTAACACAGCGTCCCAACTACCTGTTAATACACAGAGACTGGTTACACAGCATCACAACTACCTGTTAATACACAGAGACGGGTTAACACAGCATCACAACTACCTGTTAATACACAGAGACGGGTTAACACCGCGTCACAACTACCTGTTAATACACAGAGACTGGTTAACACAGCATCACAATTACCTGTTAATACACAGAGACGGGTTCACACAGCGTCCCAACTACCTGTTAAACACAGAGACGGGTTAAACAGCGTCCCAACTACCTGTTAATACACAGAGACGGGTTAACACAGCGTCACACACTCCTGTTAATACACAGAGACGGGTTAACACAGCGTCCCAACTACCTGTTAATACACAAGACGGGTTAACACAGCGTCCCAACTACCTGTTAATACACAGAGACGGGTTAACAACAGCGTCCCAACTACCTGTTAATACACAGAGACGGGTTAACCGCGTCCCAACTACCTGTTAATACAGAGAGCGTTAACACAGCATCACAACTACCTGTAATACACAGAACGGGTTAACACAGCGTCCCAACTACCTGTTATACACAGACGGGTTAACACAGCGTCCCACTACCTGTTAATACACAGAGACGGTTAACACAGCGTCCCAACTACCTGTTAATCCACAGAGACGGGTTAACACAGCGTCCCAACTACCTGTTATACACAGAGACGGGTTACACACAGCATCACAACTACCTGTTAATACACAGAGACGGGTTAACCACAGCGTCCGCAACTACTGTTAATACACAGAGACGGGTTAACACAGCATCACAACTACCTGTTAATACACAGAGACGGGTTAACACAGCGTCCCAACTACCTGTTAATACACAGAGACGGGTTAACACAGCGTCCCCAAACTACCTGTTAATACACAGAGACGGGTTAACACAGCGTCCCAACTACCTGTTAATACACATAGACGGTTAACACAGCATCACAACTAACCTGTTAATACACAGAGACGGTTTAACACAGCGTCCCAACTACCTGTTAATACACAGAGACGGGTTAACACAGCATCACAACTACCTGTTAATACACAGAGACGGGTTAACACAGCATCACAACTACCTGTTAATACACAGAGACGGGTTAAACACAGCATCCCAACTACCTGTTAATACACAGAGACGGGTTAACACAGCGTCACCACTACCTGTTAATACACAGAGACGGGTTAACACAGCGTCCCAACTACCTGTTTAATACACAGAGACGGGTTAACACAGCGTCCCAACTACCTGTTAATACACAGAGACGGGTTAACACAGCGTCCCAACTACCTGTTAATACACAGAGACGGGTTAACACAGCGTCCCAACTACCTGTTAATACACAGAGACGGGTTAACACAGCATCCCAACTACCTGTTAATACACAGAGACGGGTTAAACACAGCGTCCCCAACTACCTGTTAATACACAGAGACGGGTTAACACAGCGTCCCAACTACCTGTTAATACACAGAGACGGGTTAACACAGCTCCCAACTACCTGTTAATACACAGAGACGGGTTTAACACAGCGTCCCAACTACCTGTTAATACACAGAGACGGGTTAACACAGCGTCCCAACTACCTGTTAATACACAGAGACGGGTTAAACACAGCGTCCCAACTACCTGTTAATACACAGAGACGGGTTAACACAGCGTCCAACTACCTGTTAATACACAGAGACGGGTTAACACAGCATCACAACTACCTGTTAATACACAGAGACGGGTTAACACAGCGTCCCAACTACCTGTTAATACACAGAGACGGGTTAACACAGCGTCCCAACTACCTGTTAATACACAGAGACGGGTTAACACAGCGTCCCAACTACCTGTTAATACACAGAGACGGGTTAACACAGCGTCCCAACTACCTGTTAATACACAGAGACGGGTTAACCAACATCGCACTGCACTTTACAAGTCAAGGCAATTTTCCAGACGTTCACCAAGATCACATTCGCATAGATTACTTTTAAAAGGCAAGTGCAACGCGATGTTGGTGCATCGTGGTTAGTTTGGCCCTAGATCTCACCGAGAACCTGTCAGCAGTATGTAGGCGGGTGAGGTGCTGGTAGACTAAGTTGGGGTCCTTCTGTAGGAGCTGTGTGTCCAGGGCCTGCATGGCTGGTTACTGAGGTAGACAGGCAGAGTCTCAGGGGGAACACAGCTCTGCAGCTCAGCACAGGCTGGGAGGTTGGACTGGGCCCGCGCTGCGTTCAGGGACTGCTTGAACTCATAGGAGTTAGAGGGCTGGAGATTGATGGTTATTGCCTCCTCCTCTCCTCTTCCTCCTCCTCTTCCTCCTCCTCCTCCTCTGCAGTGGTTCTCTGGTGGGGCTGGGGTTGATGGTTCTTGCCTCCTCCTCTCCTCTTCCTCCTCCTCCTCCTCCTCCTCCTCCTCCTCTGCAGTGGTTCTCTGGTGGGGCTGGGGTTGATGGTTCTTCTGTCTCTGTTTCTGCTGCTTTGGTCCTGTCTGGCTCTGCAGCCTGCCAGTCTTCCTCCTCAGTACCCTCAACCTGACGGAGGACAGGTAGACCGCTTGTGACCATCTAGACATCACTTTGTGGCCCCTAATTACATTAGCTATGTCCTTACCATAATTACATTTCTTTCTCATATATATTTTTTTCTGACTACACTTTCATTGTGTTTTCTACTTGGTCTTTGTTGTATCTACATCCTGTAGAGTCCTCCTCCAGTGATGGGTTTGGTAGTGTACCTCAGTGATAGGTCCAGTCCTCCTGGGGTTGCTAGGTGATCCCTGGGCCAGACTCTGTCTGAGCAGCAGCGTGACCTCCTCCAGCTCCTCCTCAGCCTCCGCTACGTTGGGATCCTGCTGTAACACCTCCTCCAGCTCCTCCTCAGCCTCCGCTACGTTGGGATCCTGCTGTAACACCTCCTCCAGCTCCTCCTCAGCCTCCGCTACGTTGGGATCCTGCTGTAACACCTCCTCCAGCTCCTCCTCAGCCTCCGCTACGTTGGGATCCTGCTGTAACACCTCCTCCAGCTCCTCCTCAGCCTCCGCTACGTTGGGATCCTGCTGTAACACCTCCTCCAGCTCCTCCTCAGCCTCCGCTACGTTGGGATCCTGCTGTAACACCTCCTGCAGGTCAGAGCTGCACGCCAGGTAGTCCTGGAGACGGGGGCACAGTCACACACACACACATACATATACACACACACACACACATATACGCACGCACACACACACACACACTAACACACATATACGCACGCACACACACACACACACACACACACATATACGCACACACACACACACACACACACACATATACGCATGCACACACACACACACACACACACACACGCACACACAGTCACACACACACACACACGGACGGGCACACACATACACAGAGGAAGAGATCAGGTAGTCACCCGTTTTAATGCCTGTCTACAAAGTAGTCAACCGAGATTAGCGGCCAAACCCACTAACTAGTCCTGTGAATCCCTGAACCCTGTCCCTCACCTTCAGGCCTTTATGGGCCAGGGCCCGCCTGTAGAAGGCCTTCTTATTGGCTGGCTCCAGCCTCAGGGCGGAGTCACAGTCCTGCTTGGCTTCAGCAAACATATCCAGCTTCAGGAAGCACAGTGCTCTGAGGACAGAATGTAATACAACAACAGTATTATAGTGCATCTCTATGGTTCTGGAGGAGAACAGAACACTGTCCTTCAACATTGCCAAACACAGCTCATACAATCAGCCTCTCTTGTATCTTCTGTCACCACAGACATCATTGCACCAAGACAACTGCAGTGTTTTAATATTGATAACCCTGTAATTTCTCTGTCATAATCAACACTCCCTAAGACCATGTGTGTGTTTGTAAGGCTGGTCTTTAGTTGTCCACAGTGATGTGGTGTTCTGTGACTGCGTGTCCACACACAGGTCTTTATGCAGAACAGGACATGAACACAAAGGTAGGGAGCAGTGAGACATGTCAGTGTGGACAGCCCCTTCCTCTCTACGGTACAGTACACTCTGTCAACACTGTCAACACTGTCAACACTACTCTACCTGCTATTGTTGAGGGGAGGGGAGGGGAGAAATAGAACAGGGTCATATTCATTAGTGCACACCGTAGCAAAACATTTTTGCAACAGAAAGCGTTTCTTATTAGACAAGTTGAGGTAGTCCTTCCCTGTTTCTTCCATTCGGTGCCTAATGAATAGGACCCAGGTTTCCCATCCCAGGACAGCTGCTGCATGTCTTTCTAGGACAACATCCGCTACTCTACCCTGTTCTGTGCTACACAGTGTGTCTATAATTAGGCTCTTCGAGAGAGAGAGAGAGAGAGAGAGAGAGAGAGAGAGAGACAGAGGGGGAGAGAGAGAGAGAGAGACAGAGGGGGAGAGAGCGAGAGAGAGAGAGAGAGAGAGAGAGAGAGAGAGACTGCTGTTTCTATTTCCACACTACAGAAACAATACACCTCATTATCTGACTGAATTACTGACTCATGACGACTGACTGGGGTTAGAGCAGACTGGTCTGGGGGTTAGAGCAGACTGGGGCTAGAGCAGACTGGCTGGGGTTAGAGCAGACTGACTGGGGTTAGAGCAGACTGGGGTTAGAGCAGACTGACTGGGGTTAGAGCAGACTGGGGCTAGAGCAGACTGGGGTTAGAGCAGACTGGCTGGGGTTAGAGCAGACTGGCTGGGGTTAGAGCAACTGGCCTGGGGCTAGAGCAGACTGGCTGGGGCTAGAGCAGACTGGCGTTATGAGCAGACTGGCTGGGATTAGAGCAGACTGACCTGGGGGTAGTAGAGCAGACTGGGGTTAGAGCAGAACTGACTGGGGTTAGAGCAGACTGGGGCTAGAGCAGACTGGGGTTAGAGCAGACTGGCTGGGGGTTTAGAGCAGACTGGGCTGGGGTTAGAGCAGATCTGGCTTGCGGGCCTAGAGCAGACTGGCTGGAAGTTGAAGGCAGACTGCCTGTGGGTTAGAGCAGAGACTGGCTGGGGTTAGAGGCAGTGGACTGGCTGGGGTCTAGAGGTCAGACTGGCTGGGGTTAGAGCAGACTGGCTGGGGTTAGAGCAGAACTGGCTGGGGTTGAGCAGACTGGCTGGGGTTATGATTCAGACTGGCTTGGGGGTTTAGAGCAGACCTGACTGGGGTTAGAGCAGACTGGCTGGGGTTAGAGCAGACTGGCTGGGGTTTAGAGCAGACTGCTGGGGTTAGAGCAGACTGGCTGGGGTTAGAGCAGACTGGAGTTAGAGCAGACTGGAGTTAGAGCAGACTGGAGTTAGAGCAGACTGGAGTTAGAGCAGACTGGCTGGGGTTAGAGCAGACTGGCTGGGGTTAGAGCAGACTGGCTGGGGTTAGAGCAGACTGGCTGGGGCTAGAGCAGACTGGAGTTAGAGCAGACTGGCTGGGGTTAGAGCAGACTGGCTGGAGTTAGAGCAGACTGGAGTTAGAGCAGACTGGCTGGAGTTAGAGCAGACTGGCTGGAGTTAGAGCAGACTGGCTGGGTTTAGAGCAACCTGGAGGTTAGAGCATGACTGGCTGGGTTAGAGCAGACTGGCTGGGGTTAGAGCAGACTGGCTGGAGTTAGAGCAGACTGGCTGGGTTAGAGCAGACTGGCTGGGTTAGAGCAGACTGGAGTTAGAGCAGACTGGCTGGGGTTAGAGCAGACTGGCTGGAGTTAGAGCAGACTGGAGTTAGAGCAGACTGGCTGAGTTAGAGCAGACTGGCTGGGGTTAGAGCAGACTGGGTTGAATGTTAGAGCAGACTGGTGAGGTTAGTTAGAGCAGACTGGCTGGGTTAGAGCAGATCTGGAGTTAGAGCAGACTGGCTGGGGTTAGAGCAGACTGGCTGTGGTTTAGAGCAACTGGCTGGGGTAGAGCAGACTGGGTTGGCAGACTGGGGTTAGAGCAGACTGTAGAGCAACTGGCTGGGTTAGAGCAGACTGGCTGGGGTTAGAGCAGACTGGCTTGGCTGGGTTTAGAGCAGACTGGGTTTAGAGCAGACTGGCTGGGGTTAGAGCAGACTGGCTGGGGTTAGAGCAGACTGGCTGGGGTTAGAGCAGACTGGTATGTTAGAGCAGATGCTGGGGTTAGAGCAGACTGGCTGGGGTTTAGAGCAGACTGGCTTGGGTTAGAGCAGACTGGCTGGGGTAGAGCAGACTGGCTGGGTTAGAGCAGACTGGCTGGTGGGCTAGAGCAGACTGCTGGGGTTAGGCAGACGGGGGTTAGAGCAGACTGGCTGGGGTTAGAGCAGACTGGCTGGGGTAGAGCAGACTGGCTGGGGTTAGAGCAGACTGGCTGGGGCTAGAGCAGACTGCTGGGGTTAGAGCAGACTGGCTGGGGTAGAGCAGACTGGTTAGAGCAGACTGGCTGGGTTAGAGCAGACTGGCTGGGGTTAGAGCAGATGGGGGTTTAGAGCAGACTGGCTGGGGTTTAGAGCAGACTGGCTGGGGTTAGAGCAGACTGGCTGGGGTTTAGAGCAGACTGGCTGGGGCTAGAGCAGACTGGGAGTTAAGCAGACTGGTTGAGCATGGGGTTAGAGCAGACTGGCTGGGGTTAGAGCAGACTGGCTTAGAGCAAGGGTTAGAGCAGACTGGCTGGGGTTAGAGCAGACTGGCTGGGGTTAGAGCAGACTGGCTGGGGTTAGAGCAGACTGGCTGGGGTTAGAGCAGACTGGCTGGAGTTAGAGCAGACTGGCTGGGGTTAGAGCAGACTGGGGTTAGAGCAGACTGGCTTGGTAGAGCAACTGGTTAGAGCAGACTGGCTGGGTTAGAGCAGACTGGTTGGGTTAGAGCAGACTGGCTGGGGTTAGAGCAGACTGGCTGGGGTTAGAGCAGACTGGGGTTAGAGCAGACTGGCTGGGGTTAGAGCAGACTGGCTGGGTTAGAGCAGACTGGCTGGGGTTAGAGCAGACTGGAGTTAGAGCAGACTGGCTGGGGTTAGAGCAGACTGGAGTTAGAGCAGACTGGCTGGGGTTAGAGCAGACTGGCTGGGGTTAGAGCAGACTGGCTGGGGTTAGAGCAGACTGGCTGGGTTAGAGCAAGACTGGCTGGGGTTAGAGCAGACTGGCTGGGGTTAAGAGCAGACTGGCTGGGTTAGAGCAGACTGGCTGGGGTTAGAGCAGACTGGAGTTAGAGCAGACTGGGAAGCGACTGGGGTTAGAGCAGACTGGCTGGGGTTAGAGCAGACTGGCTGGGGCTAGCAGACTGGAGTTAAGCAGACTGGCTGGGGTTAGAGCAGACTGGCTGGGGTTAGAGCAGACTGGCTGGGTAGACGATTGGATTAGAGCAGACTGGCTGGGGTTAGAGCAGACTGGGGTAGAGCAACTGCTGGGGTTAGAGGAGACTGGCTGGGGTTAGAGCAGACTGGCTGGGGCTAGAGCAGACTGGAGTTAGAGCAGACTGGCTGGGGTTAGAGCAGACTGGCTGGGGTTAGAGCAGACTGGCTGGGGTTAGAGCAGACTGGCTGGGGTCTAGAGCAGACTGGAGTTAGAGCAGATGGCTGGGTAGCAACTGGCGGGGCTAACAACTTGATTAGAGCAGACTGGCTGGGGTTAGAGCAGACTGGCTGGGGTTAGATGCAAGACTGGAGTTAGAGCAGACTGCTGGCTAGAGCAAGGAGTTAGAGCAGACTGGGGGTTAGAGCAGACTGGCTGGGTTAGAGCAGACTGGCTGGGCTTAGAGCAGACTGGGCTGGGGTAGAGCAGACTGGAGTTAGAGCAGACTGGCTGGGGTTAGAGCAGAGAGCTGGGGTTAGAGCGACTTGTGGATAGAGCAGACTGGCTGGGGTTAGAGCAGACTGGAGTTAGAGCAGACTGGCTGGTAGAGCAACTGGTTAGAGCAGACTGGCTGGGGTTAGAGCAGACTGGGCTAGAGCAGACTGGCTGGGGTTAGAGCAGACTGGAGTTAGAGCAGACTGGCTGGAGTTAGAGCAGACTGGCTGGGGTTAGAGCAGACTGGCTGGGGTTAGAGCAGACTGGCTGGGGCTAGAGCAGACTGGAGTTAGAGCAGACTGGCTGGGTTAGAGCAGACTGGCTGGAGTTAGAGCAGACTGGCTGGGGTTAGAGCAGACTGGCTGGAGTTAGAGCAGACTGGAGTTAGAGCAGACTGGCTGGGGTTAGAGCAGACTGGCTGGGTTAGAGCAGACTGGCTGGAGTTAGAGCAGACTGGCTGGGGTTAGAGCAGACTGGAGTTAGAGCAGACTGGCTGGGGTTAGAGCAGACTGGGGCTAGAGCAGACTGGCTGGGGTTAGAGCAGACTGGGGCTAGAGCAGACTGGCTGGGTTAGAGCAGACTGCTGGAGTTAGAGCAGACTGGCTGGAGTAGAGCAGACTGGCTGGTGACAGACGGAGTTAGAGCAGACTGCTGGAGTTAGAGCAGACTGGCTGGGGTTAGAGCAGACTGGCTGGGGCTAGAGCAGACTGGAGTTAGAGCAGACTGGCTGGGTTAGAGCAGACTGGCTGGGGTTAGAGCAGACTGGCTGGGGCTAGAGCAGACTGGCTGGAGTTAGAGCAGACTGGCTGGGGTTAGAGCAGACTGGCTGGAGTTAGAGCAGACTGGAGTTAGAGCAGACTGGCTGGGGTTAGAGCAGACTGGCTGGGTAAGCAGACTGGTGGGGTAGAGCAGACTGGCTAGGTTAGAGCAGACTGGGGTTAGAGCAGACTGGCTGGAGTTAGAGCAGACTGGCTGGAGTTAGAGCAGACTGGCTGGGGTTAGAGCAGACTGGCTGGAGTTAGAGCAGACTGGCTGGAGTTAGAGCAGACTGGCTGGGGTTAGAGCAGACTGGAGTTAGAGCAGACTGGTGGAGTTAGTAGCAGACTGCTGGAGTTAGAGCAGACTGCTGGGGTTAGAGCAGACTGGCTGGGCTAGAGCAGACTGGCTGGGGTTAGAGCAGACTGGCTGGGGTTAGAGCAGACTGGCTGGGGTTAGAGCAGACTGGCTGGGGTTAGAGCAGACTGGGCTGGTGGGGTTAGAGCAGACTGGGCTAGACAGACTGGGTTAGAGCAGACTGGCTGGGGTTAGAGCAGACTGGACTGGGGTTAGAGCAGACTGGCTGGGGCTAGAGCAGACTGGGCGTGGGGCTAGAGCAGACTGGCTGGGGTTAGAGCAGACTGGTGGCTGGGGTTAGAGCAGACTGGCTGGGGTTAGAGCAGACTGGCTGGGGTCTAGAGCAACTGGCTGGGAGTTAGAGCAAGATGGCTGGGGCTTAGAGCAGACTGGCTGGAGTTAGAGCAGACTGGGAGTTAGAGCAGACTTGGGCTGGGGTTAGAGCAGACTGGCTAGGGTTAGAGAGACTGGGAGTTAGAGCAGACTGGAGTTAGAGCAGACTGACTGGGGTTAGAGCAGACTGGCTGGGGCTAGAGCAGACTGGCTGGGTCTAGAGCAGACTGACTGGAGTTAGAGCAGACTGGCTGGAGTTAGAGCAGACTGGCTGGAGTTAGAGCAGACTGGAGTTAGAGCAGACTGGCTGGGGTTAGAGCAGACGGCGGGGCTAGAGCAGACCTGGGGTAGAGCTAAAACTGGCTAGAGGGCTCTTTGAGCAGACTGCGGGTTAGAGCAGACTGGCTGGGGCTAGAGCAGACTGGCTGGGTTGAGCAGCATAGAGCAGACGGCTGGGGCTAGAGCAGACTTGGGCTGGGGCTAGAGCAGACTGGCTGGGTTAGAGCAAAACTGGAGTTAGAGCAGACTGGCGTTAGAGCAACTGGCTGGGGTTAGAGCAACTTTTGGCTGGGCTAGAGCAGACTGGCTGGGCTTAGAGCAGACTGGCTGGGGTTAGAAGCGACTGGAGTAGAGCAGACTGGAGGTTAGAGCAGACTGGAGTTAGAGCAGACTGGAGTTAGAGCAGACTGGCTGGGTTTAGAGCAGACTGGGAGTTAGAGCAGACTGGCTGGGTTGTTAGAGCAGACTGGCTGGAGGCAGACGGTTAGAGCAGACTGGCTGGGGCTAGAGCAGACTGGAGTTTAGAGCAGACTGGTGGAGTTAGAGCAGACTGGAGGTTAGAGCAGACTGGATGGGTTAGAGCAGACTGGCTGGAGTTGAGCAGACTGGCTGGGTTAGAGCAGACTGGCTGGGTTAGAGCAGACTGGCTGGGTGTGGGAGTTAGAGCAGACTGGCTGGAGGTTAGCAGACTGGCTGGGTAGACAGACTGGCTTTGGGGTTAGAGCAGACTGGCTGGGGCTAGAGCAGACTGGCTGGGGTTAGAGCAGACCTGGGTTAGAGCAGACTGGCTGGGCTTAGAGCAGACTGGGGTTAGAGCAGACTGGAGTTTAGAGCGACTGGCTGGGGTTAGAGCAGACTTTGGAGTTAGAGCAGACTGGAGTTAGAGCAGACTGGCTGGGGTTAGAAGTGGCAAGAACCCGGGTTAGAGCAGACTGGCTGGGTTAAGCAGCTGGTAGCAGACGGCTGGGTTAGAGCATACTGGCTGGGGTTAGAGCAACTGACTGGGGCTAGAGCAGACTGGTGGTTAGAGCAGACTGGCTGGAGTTAGAGCAACTGCTGGGTTAGAGCAGACTGGCTGGGTTAGAGCAGACTGGCTGGGGTTAGAGCAGACTGGGGTTAGAGCAGACTGGCTGGGGTTAGAGCAGACTGGGGTTAGAGCAGACTGGCTGGGGTTAGAGCAGACTGGAGTTTAGAGCAGACTGGTTAAGCGACTGGGGTTTGAGCAGACTGTGGGTTAGAGCAGACTGGCTGGGGCTTAGAGCAGACTGGCTGGAGTTAGAGCAGACTGGCTGGGGTTAGAGCAGACTGGTGGTTTAAGCAGACTGGCTGGAGTTGAGCAGACTGGCTGGGGTTAGATTAGACTGGCTGGGGTTGAGCAGACTGGCTGGGGCTGAGCAGACTGGCTGGGGTTAGAGCAGACTGGCTGGGTGTTGAGCAGACTGGCTGGGGTTAGAGCAGACTGGTGGGGTTAGAGCAGACTGGCTGGTTAGAGCAGACTGGCTGGGGCTTAGAGCAGACTGGCTGGGGTTAGAGCATGCTGGAGTTAGAGCAGACTGGCTGGGGTAGAGAGACTGACTGGGGCTAGAGCAGACTGTGAGGTTAGAGCAACTGGCTGGGGTTAGAGCAGACTGGGTTAAAAGCAGACTGGCTGGGGTAGAGCAGACTGGCTGGGGTAGAGGACTGACTGAGAGCTACACTGTGCTAGACTGACTGGGGTTAGAGCAGACTGGCCTGGGTTAGAGCAGACTGCTGGGGTAGAGCAGACTGGCTGGGGTTAGAGCAACTGGCTGGGGTAGAGCAGACTGGCTGGGGTTAGAGCAGACTGGCTGGTGGTAGACGGAGACTGACTGGGGTTAGAGCAGACTGGCGGGTTAGAGCAGACTGGGTAGAGCAGACTGGCTGGGGTTAGAGCAGACTGGTGGGTAGAGCAGACTGGCTGGGGTAGAGCGAACTCTGGGGCTAGAGCAGACTGGGGGTAGAGCAGACTGGCGGGGTTGAGCAGACTGCTGGGGTTAGAGCAGACTGGCTGGGCTAGAGCAGACGGCTGGGGTTAGACATGACTGCTGGGGTTGGAGCAGACATCGACGGTCCATAGCAGGCTGGGGTTAGAACATCACAGATGCTGGTGATTTGAATCACACTCTGGTATGAAAACGCCCCTCGACACACACGTATGCCTGGTTGGGTTAGACAATTTACTGGGGAGTGGGGAGACCAGGCCTTTCTGGTTAGACAACTGCTGGGCTAATCAGACTGCTGGTTAGACATACGGCTATCAAATAGATTAAAGCAAACTGCTGGAGTTAACAAACCCTGCTAAAACAACGTTGGTTAGAGAGACTGCTTTTAAAAAGAGACTGAATTTTTACATACGGGTTTAGGCAACTTTGCTAGAGCGATTGGCTGGGCACTGCTCTGGATTTGAGCTGCTTTAACGACTGGCTGGTAAAAGATGGCTGGGTTAGAGGCAACCCGTCTAAGCAGTACATGTGCAGAAAACAGTTAGAGTCAATGATGCGGTAGAGCGACTGGATTGGGTAGACAGACTGGGGGGTAAACAATGCTTGGTTGAGGCCCAAAACTGGCTCGTTGATCAATGGAGAGTTGGAACACGACTGGCTGGGTCGGCAACTGGCTGGGGGGAAGCTGGCTGGGGTGACAGACTGGCTTGGCAGAGCAGACTGGGGTTGAACCTCGGAACTGCTGGGAGAACATTCAGGCCTCAGGGGTTAGAACATCAAACCATATGAGCAAGGTGATTTGAAATCACACCTCGTGATGAAAAGGCCCCTCAGACCACAGATACCCCTTTGTCTAATGTGACATGCTGAGTGGACAGGCTCACGGTTAACTACAGTGTGGAAGCTCAGCCTCTTTTCACTTGTTCAACAGCAAAGATAAAAAAATTCAAAGGCTCGATCGCCATGACCCATCAGTACCTGGGGAAGGTTCACCTTCCAACAGGACAACGACCCTAAGCACACAGCCAAGACAATGCAGGAGTGGCTTCAGGACAAGACTCTGAATGTCCTTGAGTGGCCCGGCCAGAGCCCGGACTTGAACCCGATCAAACATCTCTGGAGAGACCTGAAAATAGCTGTGCAGCGACGCTCCCCATCCAACCTGACAGAGCTTGAGAGGATCTGCAGAGAAGAATGGGAGAAACTCCCCAAGTACAGGTGTGCCAAGCTTGTAGCGTCATACCCAAGAAGACTCAAGGCTGTAATCGCTGCCAAAGGTGCTTCAACAAAGTACTGAGTAAAGGGTCTGAATACTTATGTAAATGTGATATTTCCGTTTTTAAAATGTCTAAAAACCTGTTTTTGCTTTGTCATCATGGGGTATTGTGTGGAGATTGAAGAAAAAAACACACAGTTTAATCCATTTTAGAATAAGGCTGTAACGTAACAAAATGTGGAAAAAGTCAAGGGGTCTGAATACTTTCTGAAGGCACTGTCCATTACTGTCCATGTTAGGGTGAAGTAGACACGGCCAGGTCCTTACCTGTTGGTGTAGATGGCACATTCCTCTGGCTTCAGCTTCAGGCATTCACTGTACGTCCTTACACCCTCCTGGAACTGGCCTTTCTTCACAAACTCATTTCCTTCTTGTTTCAGTGAATTGAAACACACTTCTGCTTTTCTAGCTGCAGACAAATTGAAGAAACGATGTTGGTTGAGTAAATGTGTAACATCACACTGAGTAACTTGCCCAAAAATTATATTTTTGTAAGAATCGTATCTCACAAAAATAAGTGAGTGCGGTAATTTTGTCCTTAAAATCCAGGGGGAAATACAACACATTATCATTGTCATTGGTAACTAGGAAGTGAAAGTCAAATCAGCTGTCATTCATGTGATCACGGACAGATAAACCACTGGGGTGTTCTGGGAAAAATCTGCCAGCTCCGTTCTTCCATTAATCAGAGTTTAAAAAATAAATGATGGTTGGCTGCAGCATGGCCCTGAGGCTGGGGCTGGGGCTGAGGGCTGGGGTAGGGGTATAGTGCTGGGGTATAGGGTTTTGGGGTATAAGGCTGGGGTATAGGGCTAGGGAGAGAAGGGCTGGGGTATAGGGCTGGGGTATATGGCTAGGGTATATGGCTAGGGTATAGGGCTGGTGGATGGGGTATAGGGCTGGGGAATAGGGCTGGGATATAGGGCTAGGCTATAGGGCTAGTTTATAGGGCTGGGGTATAGGGCTAGGGGGAGAGGGGCTGGGCTATAGGGCTAGTTTATAGGGCTAGTTTATAGGGCTGGGGTATAGGGCTAGGGGGAGAGGGGCTGGGCTATAGGGCTAGTTTATAGGGCTAGTTTATAGGGCTGGGGTATAGGGCCGGGGGGAGAGGGGCTGGGGAATAGGGCTAGGGTATAAGGCTAGGGGGGAGAGGGCTAAAGGGCTGGGGTATAGGACTAGGGTATAGGGCTGGGGGAGAAGGGCTGGGGGAGAGGGCTGAGGTATATGGCTAGGGTATAGGGCTGGGGAATAGGGTATAGGGCTGGGGAATAGGGCTGGGGGGAGAGGGGCTGGGACATAGGGCGAGGGGGCTGGGGTATAGGGCTTAGTTTATAGGGACTGGGGGTATAGGGCCGGGGGGAGAGGGGCTGGGGGATAGGGCTGGGGAGAGGGCTGGGGGAGAGGGCTGGGGGAGGAGGGAGAGGGCTGGGGGAGAGGGGCTGGGGGAGAGGGGATGGGGGGAGGGCTGGGGGAGAGGGCTGGGGGAGAGGGGCTGGGGAGAGGGGCTGGGGGAGAGGGGCTGGGGGGAGAGGGGCTGGGGGGGGGGGCTGGGGGAGAGGGGCTGGGGGAGAGGGCTGGGGAGAAGGGGCTGGGGGAGAGGGCTGGGGGAGAGGGGCTGGGGGAGAGGGCTGGGGGGAGAGGGGCTGGGGGGAGAGGGCTGGGGGGAGAGGGGCTGGGAGAGGGATGGGGGAGAGGGGGCTGGGAGAGGGGCTGGGGGAGAGGGCTGGGGTGAAGAGGGGTGGGGGAGAGGGCTGGGGGGGGAGAGGGGCTGGGGGAGAGGGCTGGGGGAGAGGGGCTGGGGTATTGCAGAAAGAGGTTGAGTAATGATGATGATGCTGGCTGCACACGGCCAATAGAACAACACCCTATTCCCTATTGGACTGCGTTTAACCCTGGGCTCTGGCCAAAGGTAGTGCACTATATAGGGAATAGGGTGCTATAGACTCTGGTGAGAATTAGTGAACAACATAGGGAGTAGGGGGTCATTATGGACTCATCCTGTGAGTCAGGCTGAGTGTAGACCCTTGTGACAGATGAAACAGCTGGTCAGCGTACAGATTAGGTTCTGGGTTACTACACTCTTAGAAAGAAAGGTGCTATCTACAACCTAAAAGAGTTCTTCAGCTGTCCCCATAGGATAACCCTTTGAAGAACCCTGTTTGGTGCCAGATAGAACCCTATTGGGTTCCATGTAGAACCCTTTCCCCCAGAGGGTTCTACATGGAACCCAAAAGAGTTCTACCTGGAACCAAAAATGGTTCTACCTGGAACCAAAAAGTGTTCTCCTATGGGGACAGCCAAAGAACCCTTTTGGAATCCTTTTTTCTAAGAGTGTACATTAGGCTGAGTGAGACCCCTACCTGCGTGGTGCTTGGCCTTCTCTGCTCTGGCCTGTAGGACCTCAGCGCTGGGCGGTTCCTCCCTGCGGTGCTGCTGAGCTGATAGTGGGACCAGAGGGATCTCCGGTAGGTTCTCTCTCCACTGCTCTCCATCCTGCTCTATCAGCAACCGCGTGATTCTGGAGGAACCAGACATACAGAGACACACAGACGCACATTCACACACACAGACGTACGCATGTACACACACACACACACACACACACGCATGTACACACACACACATACACACAAATGCACGCAGGCACACACACAGGCACACAGATGTAGCATGTACACACACACACACACACAGACGTACGCATGTACACACACACACACAGGCACACAGATGTAGCATGTACACACACACACACACACGCATGTACACACACACACACACACACGTACGCATGTACACACACAGGCACACAGACGTAGCATGTACATACACACACACGCACACACACACACAGACGTACGCATGTACACACACACACACACACACAGACGTACGTATGTAAATACACACACACACACACAGAGATGTACGCATGTACAGTGGGGAGAACAAGTATTTGATACACTGCCGATTTTGCAGGTTTTTCTACTTACAAAGCATGTAGAGGTCTGTAATTTTTTATCATAGGTACACTTCAACTGTGAGAGACGGAATCTAAAACAAAAATCCAGAAAATCACATGGTACGATTTTTAAGTAATTAATTTGCATTTTATTGCATGACATAAGTATTTGATCACCTACCAACCAGTAAGAATTACAGCTCTCACAGACCTGTTAGTTTTTCTTTAAGAAGCCCTCCTGTTCTCCACTCATTACCTGTATTAACTGCACCTGTTTGAACTCTCACCTGTCCACACACTCAATCAAACAGACTCCAACCTCTCCACAATGGCCAAGACCAGAGAACTGTGTAAGGACATCAGGGATAAAATTGTAGACCTGCACAAGGCTGGGTTGGGCTACAGGACAATAGGCAAGCAGCTTGGTGAGAAGGCAACAACTGTTGGCGCAATTATTAGAAAATGGAAGAAGTTCAAGATGACGGTCAATCACCCTTGGTCTGGGGCTCCATGCAAGATCTCACCTCGTGGGGCATCAATGATCATGAGGAAGGTAAGGGATCAGCCCAGAACTACACGGCAGGACCTGGTCAATGACCTGAAGAGAGCTGGGACCACAGTCTCAAAGAAAACCATTAGTAACACACTCTGCCGTCATGGATTAAAATCCTGCAGCGCACGCAAGGTCCCCCTGCTCAAGCCAGCGCATGTCCAGGCCCGTCTGAAGTTTGCCAATGACCATCTGATCCAGAGGAGGAATGGGAGAAGGTCATGTGGTCTGATAAGACAAAAATAGAGCTTTTTGGTCTAAACTCCACTCACCGTGTTTGGAGGAAGAAGAAGGTTGAGTACAACCCCAAGAACACCATCCCAACCGTGAAGCATGGAGGTGGAAACATCATTCTTTGGGGATGCTTTTCTGCAAAGGGGACAGGACGACTGCACCGTATTGAGGGGAGGATGGATGGGGCCATGTATCGCGAGATCTTGGCCAACAACCTCCTTCCCTCAGTAAGAGCATTGAAGATGGGTCGTGGCTGGGTCTTCCAGCATGACAACGACCCGAAACACACAGTCAGGGCAACTAAGGAGTGGCTCCGTAAGAAGCATCTCAAGGTCCTGGAGTGGCCTAGCCAGTCTCCAGACCTGAACCCAATAGAAAATCTTTGGAGGGAGCTGAAAGTCCATATTGCCCAGCGACAGCCCCGAAACCTGAAGGATCTGGAGAAGGTCTGTATGGAGGAGTGGGCCAAAATCCCTGCTGCAGTGTGTGCAAACCTGGTCAAGACCTACAGGAAACGTATGATCTCTGTAATTGCAAACAAAGGTTTCTGTACCAAACATTAAGTTCTGCTTTTCTGATGTATCAAATACTTATGTCATGCAATAAAATGGAAATTAATTACTTAAAAATCATACCATGTGATTTTCTAGGATTTTTGTTTTAGATTCCGTCTCTCACAGTTGAAGTGTACCGATGATAAAAATTACAGACCTCTACATGCTTTGTAAGTAGGAAAACCTGCAAAATCGGCAGTGTATCAAATACTTGTTCTCCCCACTGTACACACACAGACCTTGTTATCCTCCCTCCTATCCTCAGGACGTGTGTGTGAGTGTAGCTGGAGGACAGCAGGTCATTCTGTCCTGCTGCTAATCAGAAGACTGACGTCTGAGCTGGCTAATTAGAGTCTACAGTAAAGGGGCCTTTCAAACAACTCACTTCCCATGGCTGTTACTGTAGGGTGGCAACATTCTGTTCACATTCTACAAATCCTGATTCCAGGAATCCTCCAACTGGGATTTCTGGGAAAACCTGGGAATTTGGGGAAAGTTCAAAGAATTTTGCAACCCTAATGATGGTAAAGATGAGGGTGGAGTAGTTTACCTGTTGACACTGTCTAATGAGGGTGAAGTAGTTTACCTGTTGACACTGTCTAATGAGGGTGGAGTAGTTTACCTGTTGACACTGTCTAATGAGGGTGGAGTAGTTTACCTGTTGACACTGTCTAATGAGGGTGGAGTAGTTTTACCTGTTGACACTGTCTAATGAGGGTGGAGTAGTTTACCTGTTGACACTGTCTAATGAGGGTGGAGTAGTTTACCTGTTGACACTGTCTAATGAGGGTGGAGTAGTTTACCTGTTGACACTGTCTAATGAGGGTGGAGTAGTTTACCTGTTGACACTGTCTAATGAGGGTGGAGTAGTTTACCTGTTGACACTGTCTAATGAGGGTGGAGTAGTTTACCTGTTGACACTGTCTAATGAGGGTGGAGTAGTTTACCTGTTGACACTGTCGTGTGCAGCCTGCACCCTGATATCTATCTGTAGCACGGTTTTGTAATCCACATAGGCCTGTCGGTAACGCTCCACAGTCTCATAAGCCATGGCTCTGCGTAGGAGGGGCTTGAGGGAGAACGGCTGCAGCTCCAAGGACCAGCAGGTAGAAATAGAATAAGACTGAGGACGGGAGGGGATCAAGCCCTGCATACACCTACAGTACAGTACCTAGCATGTAGCATGAGACTGAGGACGGAGGGGATCAAGCCCTGCATACACCTACTGTACAGTACCTAGCATGTAGCATGAGACTGAGGACGGAGGGGATCAAGCCCTGCATACACCTACTGTACAGTACCTAGCATGAGACTGAGGACGGAGGGGATCAAGCCCTGCATACACCTACAGTACAGTACCTAGCATGTAGCATGAGACTGAGGACGGAGGGGATCAAGCCCTGCATACACCTACAGTACAGTACCTAGCATGTAGCATGAGACTGAGGACACAGGGGATCAAGCCCTGCATACACCTACTGTACAGTACCTAGCATGAGACTGAGGACGGAGGGGATCAAGCCCTGCATACACCTACAGTACAGTACCTAGCATGAGACTGAGGACGGAGGGGATCAAGCCCTGCATACACCTACAGTACAGTACCTAGCATGAGACTGAGGACGGAGGGGATCAAGCCCTGCATACACCTACAGTACAGTACCTAGCATGAGACTGAGGACGGAGGGGATCAAGCCCTGCATACACCTACTGTACAGTACCTAGCATGAGACTGAGGACGGAGGGGATCAAGCCCTGCATACACCTACAGTACAGTACCTAGCATGAGACTGAGGACGGAGGGGATCAAGCCCTGCATACACCTACAGTACAGTACCTAGCATGAGACTGAGGACGGAGGGGATCAAGCCCTGCATACACCTACAGTAGAGTACCTAGCATGAGACTGAGGACGGAGGGGATCAAGCCCTGCATACACCTACAGTCAAGCCTGCAGGTTGTGGTTGGTGTTTGAGGAGGGAGGGGTCAAGCCTGCAGGTTGGGGTTGGTGTTTGAGGAGGGAGGGGTCAAGCCTGCAGGTTGGGGTTGGTGTTTGAGGAGGGAGGGAGGGGTCAAGCCTGCAGGTTGTGGTTGGTGTTTGAGGAGGGAGGGGTCAAGCCTGCAGGTTGTGGTTGGTGTTTGAGGAGGGAGGGGTCAAGCCTGCAGGTTGTGGTTGGTGTTTGAGGAGGGAGGGGTCAAGGCTGCAGGTTGTGGTTGGTGTTTGAGGAGGGAGGGGTCAAGCCTGCAGGTTGGGGTTGGTGTTTGAGGAGGGAGGGGTCAAGCCTGCAGGTTGTGGTTGGTGTTTGAGGAGGGAGGGGTCAAGCCTGCAGGTTGTGGTTGGTGTTTGAGGAGGGAGGGGTCAAGCCTGCAGGTTGTGGTTGGTGTTTGAGGAGGGAGGGGTCAAGCCTGCAGGTTGTGGTTGGTGTTTGAGGAGGGAGGGTTCAAGCCTGCAGGTTGTGGTTGGTGTTTGAGGAGGGAGGGGTCAAGCCTGCAGGTTGTGGTTGGTGTTTGAGGAGGGAGGGTTCAAGCCTGCAGGTTGTGGTTGGTGTTTGAGGAGGGAGGGGTCAAGGCTGCAGGTTGTGGTTGGTGTTTGAGGAGGGAGGGGTCAAGCCTGCAGGTTGTGGTTGGTGTTTGAGGAGGGAGGGGTCAAGCCTGCAGGTTGTGGTTGGTGTTTGAGGAGGGAGGGGTCAAGCCTGCAGGTTGTGGTTGGTGTTTGAGGAGGGAGGGGTTAAGGCTGCAGCCAGCCAGCCAGCCATCCAGACAGACAGACAGAAACTTGGTGGGCTGTTTCTCAGACAGGGAAAAGGAACAACTACAACACCTATTTCTCCTTCTCATGTTAATACATATTTTTCACTCTCTCTAGTTTTATCTCCATCTCTTCATTCAAAGACTCAATCATGGACACTCTTACAGACAGTTGTGGCTGCTTCGCCTGATGTATTGTTGTCTCTACCTTCTTGCCCTTTGTGCTGTTGTCTGTTGCCCAATAATGTTTGTACCATGTTTTGTGCTGCTACCATGTTGTGCTGCTGCCATGCTGTGTTGTTGTCTTAGGTCTCTCTTTATGTAGTGTTGTGGCGTCTCTCTTTATGTAGTGTTGTGGTGTCTCTCTTTATGTAGTGTTGTGGCGTCTCTCTTTATGTAGTGTTGTGGTGTCTCTCTCTCTTTATGTAGTGTTGTGGTGTCTCTTTATGTAGTGTTGTGGTGTCTCTCTTTATGTAGTGTTGTGGTGTCTCTCTTTATGTAGTGTTGTGGTGTCTCTCTTTATGTAGTGTTGTGGTGTCTCTCTTTATGTAGTGTTGTGGTGTCTCTCTTTATGTAGTGTTGTGGTGTCTCTCTTTATGTAGTGTTGTGGCGTCTCTCTTTATGTAGTGTTGTGGTGTCTCTCTTTATGTAGTGTTGTGGTGTCTCTCTCTCTTTATGTAGTGTTGTGGTGTCTCTCTTTATGTAGTGTTGTGGCGTCTCTCTTTATGTAGTGTTGTGGTGTCTCTCTTTATGTAGTGTTGTGGCGTCTCTCTTTATGTAGTGTTGTGGTGTCTCTCTTTATGTAGTGTTGTGGTGTCTCTCTTTATGTAGTGTTGTGGTGTCTCTCTTTATGTAGTGTTGTGGTGTCTATCTTTATGTAGTGTTGTGGTGTCTCCCTTTATGTAGTGTTGTGGTGTCTCTCTTTATGTAGTGTTGTGGTGTCTCTTTATGTAGTGTTGTGGTGTCTCTCTTTATGTAGTGTTGTGGTGTCTCTCTTTATGTAGTGTTGTGGTGTCTCTTTATGTAGTGTTGTGGTGTCTCGCTCTCTTTATGTAGTGTTGTGGTGTCTCTCTTTATGTAGTGTTGTGGTGTCTCTCTTTATGTAGTGTTGTGGTGTCTCTCTCTCTTTATGTAGTGTTGTGGCGTCTCTCTTTATGTAGTGTTGTGGTGTCTCCTTTTATGTAGTGTTGTGGTGTCTCTCTTTATGTAGTGTTGTGGTGACTCTCTCTATTTATGTAGTGTTGTGGTGTCTCTCTCTCTTTATGTAGTGTTGTGGTGTCTCTCTTTATGTAGTGTTGTGGTGTCTCTCTTTATGTAGTATTGTGGTGTCTCTCTTTATGTAGTATTGTGGTGTCTCTCTTTATGTAGTGTTGTGGTGTCTCTCTTTATGTAGTGTTGTGGTGTCTCTCTTTATGTAGTGTTGTGGTGTCTCTCTTTATGTAGTGTTGTGGTGTCTCTCTTTATGTAGTGTTGTGGTCTCTCTTTATGTAGTGTTGTCTCTCTTTATGTAGTGTTGTGGTGTCTCTCTTTATGTAGTGTTGTGGTGTCTCTTTATGTAGTGTTGTGGTGTCTCTCTTTATGTAGTGTTGTGGTGTCTCTTTATGTAGTGTTGTGGTGTCTCTCTTTATGTAGTGTTGTGGTGTCTCTCTTTATGTAGTGTTGTGGTGTCTCTCTTTATGTAGTGCTGTGGTGTCTCTCTCTCTTTATGTAGTGTTGTGGTGTCTCTCTCTCTTTATGTAGTGTTGTGGTGTCTCTTTATGTAGTGTTGTGGCGTCTCTCTTTATGTAGTGTTGTGGTGTCTCTCTTTATGTAGTGTTGTGGTGTCTCTCTTTATGTAGTGTTGTGGTGTCTCTCTTTATGTGGTGTTGTGGTGTCTCTATGTAGTGTTGTGGCGTCTCTCTTTATGTAGTGTTGTGGTGTCTCTCTTTATGTAGTGTTGTGGTGTCTCTCTTTATGTAGTGTTGTGGTGTCTCTCTTTATGTAGTGTTGTGGTGTCTCTCTTTATGTAGTGTTGTGGCGTCTCTCTTTATGTAGTGTTGTGGCGTCTCTCTTTATGTAGTGTTGTGGTGTCTCTCTTTATGTAGTGTTGTGGTGTCTCTCTTTATGTAGTGTAGTCTCTCTTTATGTAGTGTTGTGGCGTCTCTCTTTATGTAGTGTTGTGGTGTCTCTCTTTATGTAGTGTTGTGGTGTCTCTCTTTATGTGGTGTTGTGGTGTCTCTATGTAGTGTTGTGGCGTCTCTCTTTATGTAGTGTTGTGGTGTCTCTCTTTATGTAGTGTTGTGGTGTCTCTCTTTATGTAGTGTTGTGGTGTCTCTCTTTATGTAGTGTTGTGGTGTCTCTCTTTATGTGGTGTTGTGGTGTCTCTATGTAGTGTTGTGGCGTCTCTCTTTATGTAGTGTTGTGGTGTCTCTCTTTATGTAGTGTTGTGGTGTCTCTCTTTATGTAGTGTTGTGGTGTCTCTCTTTATGTAGTGTTGTGGTGTCTCTCTTTATGTAGTGTTGTGGCGTCTCTCTTTATGTAGTGTTGTGGCGTCTCTCTTTATGTAGTGTTGTGGTGTCTCTCTTTATGTAGTGTTGTGGTGTCTCTCTTTATGTGGTGTTGTGGTGTCTCTATGTAGTGTTGTGGCGTCTCTCTTTATGTAGTGTTGTGGTGTCTCTCTTTATGTAGTGTTGTGGTGTCTCTCTTTATGTAGTGTTGTGGCGTCTCTCTTTATGTAGTGTTGTGGCGTCTCTCTTTATGTAGTGTTGTGGCGTCTCTCTTTATGTAGTGTTGTGGTGTCTCTCTTTATGTAGTGTTGTGGTGTCTCTCTTTATGTGGTGTTGTGGTGTCTCTATGTAGTGTTGTGGCGTCTCTCTTTATGTAGTGTTGTGGTGTCTCTCTTTATGTAGTGTTGTGGTGTCTCTCTTTATGTAGTGTTGTGGTGTCTCTCTTTATGTAGTGTTGTGGTGTCTCTCTTTATGTAGTGTTGTGGCGTCTCTCTTTATGTAGTGTTGTGGCGTCTCTCTTTATGTAGTGTTGTGGTGTCTCTCTTTATGTAGTGTTGTGGTGTCTCTCTTTATGTAGTGTAGTCTCTCTTTATGTAGTGTTGTGGTGTCTCTCTTTATGTAGTGTTGTGGTGTCTCTCTTTATGTAGTGTTGTCTCTCTTTATGTAGTGTTGTGGCGTCTCTCTTTATGTAGTGTTGTGGCGTCTCTCTTTATGTAGTGTTGTGGTGTCTCTCTTTATGTAGTGTTGTGGTGTCTCTCTTTATGTGGTGTTGTGGTGTCTCTATGTAGTGTTGTGGCGTCTCTTATGTAGTGTTGTGGTGTCTCTTTATGTAGTGATGTGGTGTCTCTCTTTATGTAGTGTTGTGGTGTCTCTCTCTCTTTATGTAGTGTTGTGGCGTCTCTCTATGTAGTGTTGTGGTGTCTCTCTTTATGTAGTGTTGTGGCGTCTCTCTTTATGTAGTGTTGTGGCGTCTCTCTTTATGTAGTGTTGTGGTGTCTCTCTTTATGTAGTGTTGTGGTGTCTCTCTTTATGTGGTGTTGTGGTGTCTCTATGTAGTGTTGTGGCGTCTCTTATGTAGTGTTGTGGTGTCTCTTTATGTAGTGTCTCTCTTTATGTAGTGTTGTGGTGTCTCTCTCTCTTTATGTAGTGTTGTGGCGTCTCTCTTTATGTAGTGTTGTGGTGTCTCTCTTTATGTAGTGTTGTGGCGTCTCTCTTTATGTAGTGTTGTGGTGTCTCTCTTTATGTAGTGTTGTGGTATCTCTCTCTATGTAGTGTTGTGGTGTCTCTCTCTCTTTATGTAGTGTTGTGGTGTCTCTCTCTCTTTATGTAGTGTTGTGGTGTCTCTCTTTATGTAGTGTTGTGGCGTCTCTCTTTATGTAGTGTTGTGGTGTCTCTTTATGTAGTGTTGTGGTGTCTCTCTTTATGTGGTGTTGTGGTGTCTTTATGTAGTATTGTGGTGTCTCTCTTTATGTAGTGTTGTGGTCTCTCTTTATGTAGTGTTGTGGTGTCTCTCTTTATGTAGTGTTGTGGTGTCTCTCTTTATGTAGTGTTGTGGCGTCTCTCTTTATGTAGTGTTGTGGTGTCTCTTTATGTAGTGTTGTGGCGTCTCTCTTTATGTAGTGTTGTGGTGTCTCTTTATGTAGTGTTGTGGTGTCTCTTTATGTAGTGTTGTGGCGTCTCTCTTTATGTAGTGTTGTGGTGTCTCTCTCTCTTTATGTAGTGTTGTGGCGTCTCTCTTTATGTAGTGTTGTGGTGTCTCTCTTTATGTAGTATTGTGGTGTCTCTCTTTATGTAGTATTGTGGTGTCTCTCTTTATGTAGTGTTGTGGTGTCTCTCTTTATGTAGTGTTGTGGCGTCTCTCTTTATGTAGTGTTGTGGCGTCTCTCTTTATGTAGTGTTGTGGCGTCTCTCTTTATGTAGTGTTGTGGTGTCTCTTTATGTAGTGTTGTGGTGTCTCTCTTTATGTGGTGTTGTGGTGTCTCTTTATGTAGTGTTGTGGTGTCTCTCTTTATGTAGTGTTGTGGAGTCTCTCTCTCTTTATGTGGTGTTGTGGTGTCTTTATGTAGTGTTGTGGTGTCTCTCTTTATGTAGTGTTGTGGTGTTATTCTCTATCCCAGCCCCTGTCCCCGCAGGAGGCCTTTTGCCTTTTGGTAGCCCGTCATTGTAAATAAGAATTTGTTCTTACCTGACTTGCTTAGTTAAATAAAGGTTAAAAATAAATAAATAAATAAATAATAATTTGCTTATACTTTCATTTGCATTTTTCTGTTGTGATAGAAACATGAGAAAATGGGTGGAGTTGGTTTTCTGACTGTTGAATTGTGACTCATCTGCATGTTGTTTTATAGAACAGTCAGTTTGACGTTGACTGACTGGTGACAGACTGTACACCACAGTACAGGGCTGTAGAGTAAACAGGAGACCTGACTGTACACCACAGTACAGGCCTGTAGAGTAAACAGGAGACCTGACTGTACACCACAGTACAGGGCTGTAGAGTAAACAGGAGACCTGACTGTACACCACAGTACAGGCCTGTAGAGTAAACAGGAGACCTGACTGTACACCACAGTACAGGGCTGTAGAGTAAACAGGAGACCTGACTGTACACCACAGTACAGGCCTGTAGAGTAAACAGGAGACCTGACCGTACACCACAGTACAGGCCTGTAGAGTAGGCTATTCCAGGTCAATGACCATATCATTTCAACCAACTGGTGGTCTCCAGGACTGGGCTGGAGGTCAGTCACTTTAAGCTCAGTACTGATTGACTTGGGAGGTATAATTGTTCAATCTCACTAAGTAGGGAGTGACCAGTCACTCACCTCTCACTAAGCAGGGAAGTGATCAGTCACTCGCCTCTCACTAAGCAGGGAAGTGATCAGTCACTCACCTCTCACTAAGCAGGGAAGTGATCCGTCACTCACCTCTCACTAAGCAGGGAAGTGATCAGTCACTCACCTCTCACTAAGCAGGGAAGTGATCAGTCACTCACCTCTCACTAAGTAGGGAGTGATCAGTCACTCACCTCTCACTAAGCAGGGAAGTGATCAGTCACTCACATCTCACTAAGCAGGGAAGTGATCAGTCACTCACCTCTCACTAAGCAGGGAAGTGATCCGTCACTCACCTCTCACTAAGTAGGGAAGTGATCAGTCACTCACCTCTCACTAAGCAGGCAAGTGATCAGTCACTCACCTCTCACTAAGCAGGGAAGTGATCAGTCACTCACCTCTCACTAAGTAGGGAAGTGATCAGTCACTCACCTCTCACTAAGCAGGGAAGTGATCAGGCACTCACCTCTCACTAAGCAGGGAAGTGATCAGGCACTCACCTCTCACTAAATAGGGAAGTGATCAGTCACTCACCTCTCACTAAGTAGGGAGGTGATCAGTCACTCACCTCTCACTAAGTAGGGAAGTGATCAGTCACTCACCTCTCACTAAGTAGGGAAGTGATCAGTCACTCACCTCTCACTAAGTAGGGAAGTGATCAGTCACTCACCTCTCACTAAGCAGGGAAGTGATCAGTCAGTCACCTCGCACTAAACAGGGAAGTGATCAGTCACTCACCTCTCACTAAATAGGGAAGTGATCGGTCACTCACCTCTCACTAAGCAGGGAAGTGATCAGTCACTCACCTCTCACTAAGCAGGGAAGTGATCAGTCACTCACCTCTCACTAAGCAGGGAAGTGATCGGCAGGGAAGTGATCCGTCACTCACCTCTCACTAAATAGGGAAGTGATCAGTCACTCACCTCTCACTAAGCACGGAAGTGATCAGTCACTCACCTCTCACTAAGTAGGGAAGTGATCAGTCACTCACCTCTCACTAAGCAGGGAAGTGATCAGTCACTCACCTCTCACTAAATAGGGAAGTGATCAGTCACTCACCTCTCACTAAGTAGGGAAGTGATCAGTCACTCACCTCTCACTAAGCACGGAAGTGATCAGTCACTCACCTCTCACTAAGTAGGGAAGTGATCAGTCACTCACCTCTCACTAAGCAGGGAAGTGATCAGTCACTCACCTCTCACTAAGCACGGAAGTGATCAGTCACTCACCTCTCACTAAGTAGGGAAGTGATCAGTCACTCACCTCTCACTAAGCAGGGAAGTGATCAGTCACTCACCTCTCACTAAATAGGGAAGTGATCAGTCACTCACCTCTCACTAAGTAGGGAAGTGATCAGTCACTCACCTCTCACTAAGTAGGGAAGTGATCAGTCACTCACCTCTCACTAAGTAGGGAAGTGATCAGTCACTCACCTCTCACTAAGTAGGGAAGTGATCAGTCATTCACCTCTCACTAAGCAGGGAAGTGATCAGTCACTCACCTCTCACTAAGTAGGGAAGTGATCAGTCATTCACCTCTCACTAAGCAGGGAAGTGATCAGTCACTCACCTCTCACTAAGCAGGCAAGTGATCAGTCATTCACCTCTCACTAAGCAGGGAAGTGATCAGTCACTCACCTCTCACTAAGTAGGGAAGTGATCAGTCACTCACCTCTCACAAAGTAGGGAAGTGATCAGTCACTCACCTCTCACTAAGTAGGGAAGTGATCAGTCACTCACCTCTCACTAAGCAGGGAAGTGATCAGTCACTCACCTCTCTGGTCTTCCCCTTGCTCATTCTCCACTTCCTGAATTACGATCTTGTTGCTTTTACGTTCCTTCTCCGGTTGACAATGGTTTAGTTTCTTACCCACCTCAACCAGAAGTTTCTGTGGGCCAGGATTACATTTACATTTACATTTTGGTCATTTAGCAGACGCTCTTATCCAGAGCGACTTACAAATTGGTGCATTCACCCTATAGCCAGTGGGATAACCACTTTCCAAAATTTGTTTTTTTAATTTTATTTATTATTTTTCATATTTTATTTTGTTGTTTTTAATACATATTTTTTTTATATTTCTTTCTTATTTTTTTTATTCTTATTCTTATTTATTTATTTATTTTGGGGGGGGGGGGGGGGGGTAGAAGGATTACTTTATCCTATCCCAGGTATTCCTTAAAGAGGTGGGGTTTCAAATGTCTCCGGAAGGTGGTGAGTGACTCCGCTGTCCTGGCGTCATGAGGGAGCTTGTTCCACCATTGGGGTGCCAGAGCAGCGAACAGTTTTGACTGGGCTGAGCGGGAACTATGCTTCCGCAGAGGAAGGGGAGCCAGCAGGCCAGAGGTGGATGAACGCAATGCCCTCGTTTGGGTGTAGGGACTGATCAGAGCCCGAAGGTACAGAGGTGCCGTTCCCCTCACTGTTCCATAGGCAAGCACCATGGTCTTGTAGCGGATGCGAGCTTCAACTGGAAGCCAGTGGAGTGTGCGGAGGAGAGGGGTGACGTGAGAGAACTTGGGAAGGTTGAACACCAGACGGGCTGCGGCATTCTGGATGAGTTGTAGGGGTTTAATGGCACAGGCAGGGAGCCCAGCCAACAGCGAGTTGCAGTAATCCAGACGGGAGATGACAAGTGCCTGGATTAGGACCTGTGCCGCTTCCTGTGTATGTGGATCGGGTCACCGCCTTGATGTTAGCGGAGAACGACAGGGTGTTGTCCAGGGTCACGCCAAGGCTCTTCGCACTCTGGGAGGAGGACACAACGGAGTTGTCAACCGTGAAGGAAAATCAGAACAGAAGACCTGAAAATAGTTCATTCTATTGTTCCATTAGATTCAATGCAAACACAGTCAAACAACATGTTATGCTGATGAAGACAGGTGATTTAACAGTAGTAACAGTCCATACTATTCAACTCCACGTCCGTCATTCCAGGCCACCGTCTATTGAATAAACAGGAGACCTGACGGTCACTACAGTACCGTCTATTGAATAAACAGGAGACCTGACGGTCACTACAGTACCGTCTATTGAATAAACAGGAGACCTGACGGTCACTACAGTACCGTCTATTGAATAAACAGGAGACCTGACGGTCACTACAGTACCGTCTATTGAATAAACAGGAGACCTGACGGTCACTACAGTACCGTCTATTGAATAAACAGGAGACCTGACGGTCACTACAGTACCGTCTATTGAATAAACAGGAGACCTGACGGTCACTACAGTACCGTCTATTGAATAAACAGGAGACCTGACGGTCACTACAGTACCGTCTATTGAATAAACAGGAGACCTGACGGTCACTACAGTACCGTCTATTGAATAAACAGGAGACCTGACGGTCACTACAGTACCGTCTATTGAATAAACAGGAGACCTGACGGTCACTACAGTACCGTCTATTGAATAAACAGGAGACCTGACGGTCACTACAGTACCGTCTATTGAATAAACAGGAGACCTGACGGTCACTACAGTACCGTCTATTGAATAAACAGGAGACCTGACGGTCACTACAGTACCGTCTATTGAATAAACAGGAGACCTGACGGTCACTACAGTACCGTCTATTGAATAAACAGGAGACCTGACGGCCACTACAGTACCGTCTATTGAATAAACAGGAGACCTGATGGTCACTACAGTACCGTCTATTGAATAAACAGGAGACCTGACGGTCACTACAGTACCGTCTATTGAATAAACAGGAGACCTGATGGTCACTACAGTACCGTCTATTGAATAAACAGGAGACCTGATGGTCACTACAGTACCGTCTATTGAATAAACAGGAGACCTGACGGTCACTACAGTACCGTCTATTGAATAAACAGGAGACCTGACGGTCACTACAGTACCGTCTATTGAATAAACAGGAGACCTGACGGTCACTACAGTACCGTCTATTGAATAAACAGGAGACCTGACGGTCACTACAGTACCGTCTATTGAATAAACAGGAGACCTGATGGCCACTACAGTACCGTCTATTGAATAAACAGGAGACCTGACGGTCACTACAGTACCGTCTATTGAATAAACAGGAGACCTGACGGTCACTACAGTACCGTCTATTGAATAAACAGGAGACCTGACGGTCACTACAGTACCGTCTATTGAATAAACAGGAGACCTGACGGTCACTACAGTACCGTCTATTGAATAAACAGGAGACCTGACGGTCACTACAGTACCGTCTATTGAATAAACAGGAGACCTGATGGCCACTACAGTACCGTCTATTGAATAAACAGGAGACCTGATGGCCACTACAGTACCGTCTATTGAATAAACAGGAGACCTGATGGTCACTACAGTACCGTCTATTGAATAAACAGGAGACCTGATGGTCACTACAGTACCGTCTATTGAATAAACAGGAGACCTGACGGTCACTACAGTACCGTCTATTGAATAAACAGGAGACCTGACGGCCACTACAGTACCGTCTATTGAATAAACAGGAGACCTGACGGTCACTACAGTACCGTCTATTGAATAAACAGGAGACCTGACGGTCACTACAGTACCGTCTATTGAATAAACAGGAGACCTGATGGTCACTACAGTACCGTCTATTGAATAAACAGGAGACCTGACGGTCACTACAGTACCGTCTATTGAATAAACAGAGACCTGACGGTCACTACAGTAACCGTCTATTGAATAAACAGGAGACCTGACGGCCACTACAGTACCGTCTATTGAATAAACAGGAGACCTGATGGTCACTACAGTACCGTCTATTGAATAAACAGGAGACCTGACGGTCACTACAGTACCGTCTATTGAATAAACAGGAGACCTGATGGCCACTACAGTACCGTCTATTGAATAAACAGGAGACCTGATGCTGTCATTCATTTTATGGAGGGATTGGTTGATACAGTAACTCCAACGCACCGTGATGGGCTGTGTGTGTGTGTGTGTGTGTGTGTTTGTGTGTTGGGCTGTGTGTGTGTTGGGCTGTGTGTGTGTGTGTGCGTGTGTGTGTGTGTGTTTGTGTGTTGGGCTGTGTGTGTGTTGGGCTGTGTGTGTGTGTGTGCGCGTGTGTGTGTGTTGGGCTGTGTGTGTGTTGGGCTGTGTGTGTGTTGGGCTGTGTGTGTGTGTGTGTGTGTGTGTTTGGCTGGGTGTGTGTGTGTGTGTGTGTGTGTGTGTGTGTGTGTGTGTGTGTGTGTGTGTGTGTGTGTGTGTGTGTGTGTTTGGCTGTGTGTGTGTGTGTGTGTGTGTGTGTGTGTGTGTGTGTGTTTGGCTGTGTGTGTGTGTGTGTGTGTGAGACACTTACAGTAGCAGTGGTGTTCTGTGGTTCAGCCAGCAGTACGCTCCTCAGGTCTTCAGCAGCCATCTGATAGTTCCCCTGCTGTTTCAGCACTGTGGCCCTGTCAGCCAGGAACATGACATGGGCTTTGAAATCACACCTTATTCCTTTAGTGCACTACTTTTGAACCAGGGCCCATAGGACTCAGGCCAAAAGTAGTGCACTATATAGGGAATAGGGTGCCATTCTCTGGTCTAAAGTAGTGCACTATAGAGGGAATAGGGTGCCATTCTCTGGTCTAAAGTAGTGCTGTATAGGGAATAGGGTGCCATTCTCTGGTCTAAAGTAGTGCACTATATAGGGAATAGGGTGCCATTTGGGACGCACATGTGGTGATGCACTTTCCTATGTAGCATGGTGATATTAGTATTCGTAACTGTGCGTATGCATTAAATAGACAAGACCAGTCTTTCTGAAAGGTAGACTCAATGAAGTGACGATGCACCAGCAGCACCACAGATATTGAGATGAGCGAGATGCACGACTTCTCTCTCCCAGTCATACACAGTCTCTGAGCGAGATGCACGACTTCTCTCTCCCAGTCATACACAGTCTCTGAGCGAGATGCACGACTTCTCTCTCCCAGTCATACACAGTCTCTGAGCGAGATGCACGACTTCTCTCTCCCAGTCATACGCAGTCTCTGAGCGAGATGCACGACTTCTCTCTCCCAGTCATACACAGTCTCTGAGCGAGATGCACGACTTCTCTCGCCGAGTCATACACAGTCTCTGAGCGAGATGCACGACTTCTCTCTCCCAGTCATACACAGTCTCTGAGCGAGATGCACGACTTCTCTCTCCCAGTCATACACAGTCTCTGAGCGAGATGCACGACTTCTCTCTCCCAGTCATACACAGTCTCTGAGCGAGATGCACGACTTCTCTCTCCCAGTCATACGCAGTCTCTGAGCGAGATGCACGACTTCTCTCTCCCAGTCATACACAGTCTCTGAGCGAGATGCACGACTTCTCTCGCCGAGTCATACACAGTCTCTGAGCGAGATGCACGACTTCTCTCTCCCAGTCATACACAGTCTCTGAGCGAGATGCACGACTTCTCTCTCCCAGTCATACGCAGTCTCTGAGCGAGATGCACGACTTCTCTCTCCCAGTTATACACAGTCTCTGAGCGAGATGCACGACTTCTCTCTCCCAGTCATACACAGTCTCTGAGCGAGATGCACGACTTCTCTCGCCGAGTCATACACAGTCTCTGAGCGAGATGCACGACTTCTCTCTCCCAGTCATACACAGTCTCTGAGCGAGATGCACGACTTCTCTCTCCCAGTCATACACAGTATCTGAGCGAGATGCACGACTTCTCTCTCCCAGTCATACACAGTCTCTGAGCGAGATGCACAACTTCTCTCTCCCAGTCATACGCAGTCTCTGAGCGAGATGCACGACTTCTCTCTCCCAGTCATACGCAGTCTCTGAGCGAGATGCACGACTTCTCTCTCCCAGTCATACACAGTCTCTGAGCGAGATGCACGACTTCTCTCTCCCAGTCATACACAGTCTCTGAGCGAGATGCACGACTTCTCTCTCCCAGTCATACACAGTCTCTGAGCGAGATGCACGACTTCTCTCTCCCAGTCATACACAGTCTCTGAGCGAGATGCACGACTTCTCTCTCCCAGTCATACACAGTCTCTGAGCGAGATACACGACTTCTCTCTCCCAGTCATACACAGTCTCTGAGCGAGATGCACGACTTCTCTCTCCCAGTCATACACAGTCTCTGAGCGAGATGCACGACTTCTCTCGCCGAGTCATACACAGTCTCTGAGCGAGATGCACAACTTCTCTCTCCCAGTCATACGCAGTCTCTGAGCGAGATGCACGACTTCTCTCTCCCAGTCATACACAGTCTCTGAGCGAGATGCACGACTTCTCTCTCCCAGTCATACACAGTCTCTGAGCGAGATGCACGACTTCTCTCTCCCAGTCATACACAGTCTCTGAGCGAGATGCACGACTTCTCTCTCCCAGTCATACACAGTCTCTGAGCGAGATGCACGACTTCTCTCTCCCAGTCATACACAGTCTCTGAGCGAGATGCACGACTTCTCTCTCCCAGTTATACACAGTCTCTGAGCGAGATACACGACTTCTCTCTCCCAGTCATACACAGTCTCTGAGCGAGATGCACGACTTCTCTCTCCCAGTCATACAGTCTCTGAGCGAGATGCACGACTTCTCTCTCCCAGTTATACACAGTCTCTGAGCGAGATGCACGACTTCTCTCTCCCAGTCATACACAGTCTCTGAGCGAGATGCACGACTTCTCTCTCCCAGTCATACGCAGTCTCTGAGCGAGATGCACGACTTCTCTCTCCCAGTCATACGCAGTCTCTGAGCGAGATGCACGACTTCTCTCTCCCAGTCATACCAGTCTCTGAGCGAGATGCACGACTTCTCTCTCCCAGTCATACGCAGTCTCTGAGCGAGATGCACGACCCTTTTCTCTCCCAGTCATACACAGTCTCTGAGCGAGATGCACGACTTCTCTCTCCAGTCATACACAGTCTCTGAGCGAGATGCACGACTTCTCTTCCCGTCATACCACAGTCTCTGAGCGAGATGCACAACTTCTCTCTCCCAGTTATACACAGTCTCTGAGCGAGAAACACGACTCTCTCCCAGTCATACACAGTCTCTGAGCGAGATGCACGACTTCTCTCTCCCAGTCATACACGTCTCTGAGCGAGTGCACGACTTCCTCTCCCAGTCATACACAGTTATCTGAGCGAGATGCCGACTTCTCTCTCCCAGTCATACACAGTTCTGACGAGATGCACGACTCTCTCTCCCATCATACACAGTCTCTGAGCGAGATGCACGACTTCTCTCTCCCGTCATCCATCTCTGAGCGAGATGCACGACTTCTCTCTCCCAGTCATACACAGTCTCTGAGCGAGATGCACGACTTCTCTCTCCCAGTCATACACAGTCTCTGAGCCGAGATGCAGACTTCTCTCTCCCCAGTCATACACAGTCTCTGAGCGAGATGCACGACTTCTTCTCCCCAGTTATACACAGTCTCTGAGCGAGATACACGACTTCTCTCTCCCAGTCATACCAGTTCTCTGAGCGGATTGCACGATTCTCTCTCCCAGTCATACCAGTCTCTGAGCGAGATGCACGACTTCTCTCTCCCAGTATACACAGTCTCTGAGCGGATGCACGACTTCTCTCTCCCAGTTATACACAGTATCTGAGCGAGATGCACGACTTCTCTCTCCCAGTCATACGCAGTATCTGAGCGAGATGCACGACTTCTCTCTCCCCAGTCATACGCCAGTCTCTGAGCGAGATGCACGACTTCTCTCTCCCAGTCATACGCAGTCTCTGAGCGAGATGCACGACTTCTCTCTCCCAGTCATACACAGTCTCTGAGCGAGATGCAGACTCTCTCTCCCAGTCATACACAGTCTCGGCGAGATACACTTCTCTCTCCAGTTACACATCTCTACGAGAAACACGACTTCTCTCTCCCAGTCTACCAGTCTCGAGCGAGATCACGATTCTCTCTCCATCATACACAGTCTCTGACAGATGCACGACTTCTCTCTCCTCTACACGTATTGAGCGAGATGCAGACTTCTCTCTCCCAGTCATACACGTCTCTGAGCGAATGCACGACTTCTCTCTCCCAGTCATACACAGTATCTGAGCGAGATACGACTTCTCTCTCCCAGTCATACACAGTCTCTGAGCGAGATGCACGACTCTCTTCCAGTCATACACAGATCTGCACATGTCACAGTTCGCTTCAGTAGTTCAACGTCGTAGAACGCACCAAAACGCGGAAGTTGAGTACCTTTCATATAGCTGGCTCCATCTCCAGTGGAACAGTACCTTTCATATTGCCTGGTCCATCTCCAGTGGAACAGTACCTTTCATATAGCCCGGCTCCATCTCCAGTGGAACAGTACCTTTCATATAGCCCGGCTCCATCTCCAGTGGAACAGTACCTTTCATATTGCCTGGCTCCATCTCCAGTGGAACAGTACCTTTCATATAGCCCGGCTCCATCTCCAGTGGAACAGTACCTTTCATATAGCCCGGCTCCATCTCCAGTGGAACAGTACCTTTCATATTGCCTGGCTCCATCTCCAGTGGAACAGTACCTTTCATATAGCCCGGCTCCATCTCCAGTGGAACAGTACCTTTCATATAGCCCGGCTCCATCTCCAGTGGAACAGTACCTTTCATATAGCCCGGCTCCATCTCCAGTGGAACAGTACCTTTCATATTGCCTGGCTCCATCTCCAGTGGAACAGTACCTTTCATATAGCCCGGCTCCATCTCCAGTGGAACAGTACCTTTCATATAGCCCGGCTCCATCTCCAGTGGAACAGTACCTTTCATATTGAGTGGCTCCATCTCCAGTGGAACAGTACCTTTCATATAGCCCGGCTCCATCTCCAGTGGAACAGTACCTTTCATATAGCCCGGCTCCATCTCCAGTGGAACAGTACCTTTCATATTGCCTGGCTCCATCTCCAGTGGAACAGTACCTTTCATATAGCCCGGCTCCATCTCCAGTGGAACAGTACCTTTCATATAGCCCGGCTCCATCTCCAGTGGAACAGTACCTTTCATATAGCCCGGCTCCATCTCCAGTGGAACAGTACCTTTCATATAGCCCGGCTCCATCTCCAGTGGAACAGTACCTTTCATATTGCCTGGCTCCATCTCCAGTGGAACAGTACCTTTCATATAGCCCGGCTCCATCTCCAGTGGAACAGTACCTTTCATATTGCCTGGCTCCATCTCCAGTGGAACAGTACCTTTCATATAGCCCAGCTCCATCTCCAGTGGAACAGTACCTTTCATATTGCCTGGCTCCATCTCCAGTGGAACAGTACCTTCCATATAGCCCGGCTCCATCTCCAGTGCCTTCTGACAGTCGTTGAGGGCATTGTGCCAGTCGTTGAGGGCATTGTGCCAGTCGTTGAGGGCATTGTGCCAGTGCTGCAGTTTGATCTCTGACTGGGTTCTGCTGTTGTAACCTGCTACGGTTGGTACCACTGACAGACTCCTGGTGAGGAGGAGACATGGAGAGAAGAGAGATGGACCACATTTAGCAGTACGGAGACTGATTACTGGATAAGACCTTCTCACTGAGGGTTTGAGTAATATAAACATTGAATAAGGAATTATGACATAGCCCCTCTAGTAAATGAATAGGATCTCTATGGATATAAATGTATCTCTATGGTTTGAAGCTGAACTCAAGACAAAAGGAATTAAACCCATTGAATATGCATTCACTAAGAGATACTAGCATCAGCTTAGCTTGACGGTAATGACGATCCCTAACTCCTCCAAGGGAGACAGCTGTTAGTGTTAAGTTAAAAGGTCTGACCTTGAATAATACGCCACTGCTTCTTCATAGTCGTTGGCCTTGAAAGCCTTGAAAGCCTCGTTGCCTTTAACCTTCTCACGGTTGGCAACGAGGACTTTCTCCTGCCCAGTCAGCGCTAGAAGAACATACACATTCTATCAAGACTACGGAGCAACAACAGTCAAATAAAGACATACTGCAAGTGTGCATGAATTCATGATATAACAACTGAACAACACAATTGAACCGTTACAACTAAATAACATCTCTGAGACACTAATGACACAGTCTAATGGGAACCAAATAGATATTTCACCTGTTGTATCCATTTTGCTCCTGATGTACAGATATCTAGAGTTTATAATTGCGGGGGGATCCTTTTTTGTTCCATTTCCATCCATTTTATCACACTCCCTGTCGACGTCATACCTGCAATACAGAGGGACAACGTTGATAATATTGTCTAGGTATGATTCCAGGACCCCATACACAAATTATAAGGCAGGAAAAAACTATACACACTGGTCCCATTCTATATAATCAGGAGGAATAACCTTCTACAGACTCACTGGTCCCATTCTATATAATCAGGAGGAAGAACCTTCTACAGACTCACTGGTCCCATTCTATATAATCAGGAGGAAGAACCTTCTACAGACTCACTGGTCCCATTCTATATAATCAGGAGGAAGAACCTTCCACAGACTCACTGGTCCCATTCTATATAATCAGGAGGAAGAACCTTCTATAGACTCACTGGTCCCATTCTATATAATCAGGAGGAAGAACCTTCTATAGACTCACTGGTCCCATTCTATATAATCAGGAGGAAGAACCTTCTATAGACTCACTGGTCCCATTCTATATAATCAGGAGGAAGAACCTTCTATAGACTCACTGGTCCCATTCTATATAATTACGAGGAAGAACCTTCTATACACTCACTGGTCCCATGGACAACTACAAATACCTAGGTGTCTGGTTAGACTGTAAACTCAACTTCCAGACTCACATAAAGAATCTCCAATCCAAAGTTAAATCTAGAATCGGCTTCCTATTTCGCAACAAAGCCTCCTTCACTCATGCTGCCAAACATGCCCTCGTAAAACTGACTATCCTACCGATCCTTGACTTCGGCGATGTCATTTACAAAATAGCCTCCAACACTCTACTCAGCAAATTGGATGTAGTCTATCACAGTGCCATCCGTTTTGTCTCCAAAGCCCCATACACTACCCACCACTGTGACCTGTACGCTCTTGTTGGCTGGTCCTCACTACATGTTCGTCGTCAAACCCACTGGCTCCAGGCCATCTATAAATCACTGCTAGGCAAATCCCCGCCTTATCTTAGCTCATTGGTCACCATAGCAACACCCACCCGTAGTCTGCGCTCCAGCAGGTATATCTCACTGGTCATTCCCAAAGCCAACACCTCCTTTGGCCGCCATTCCTTCCAGTTCTCTGCTGCCAATGACTGGAACGAATTGCAAAAATCTCTGAAGCTGGAGACTCTTATCTCCCTCAATAACTTTAAGCATCAGTTGTCAGAGCACCTTACCGATCACTGCACCTGTACACAGCCCATCTGAAATTAGCCCACCCAACTACCTCATCCCTATATTGTTATTTATTTTGCTCTTTTGCACCCCAGTATCTCTATTTGCACATAATCTCTTGCACATCTAGCATTCCAGTGTTAATACTATTGTAATTATTTTGCACTATAGCCTATTTATTGCCTTACCTCCATAACTTGCTACATTTGCACACACTGTATATATATTTTCTGTTGTATTTTTGACTTTATGTTTTTTACCCCATATGTAACTCTGTGTTGTTTTTATTGCACTGCTTTGCTTTATCTTGGCCAGGTCGCAGTTGTAAATGAGAACCTGTTCTCAACTGGCTTACCTTGTTAAATAAAGGTGAAATAAAATAAAAATAAATTCTATATAATTACGAGGAAGAACCTTCTATAGACTCACTGGTCCCATTCTATATAATTACGAGGAAGAACCTTCTTCTTTGAAGTTTTCTTCTGTCCATTTGAAACTGCATTCTGCAACACAATTTAGAATGAAGTTCAACTCATTGTTCTACTATTGTCTGACAACACAAAATAATTGTATTTCCTCATAAACAGAGAGACTTTACCTGCTTGAGAGTAATAGAGCAACTTGAGCCACGTACCGGGGGAACATTATCATTTTCAAGATCATGAAATAAAGATTGTTGTTTCAGCTCAGTTTCACTCATTGTGGCATCTCTCTCCCACTTCTGTAACAGTGAAACAGTGTGGTGGATATTAGGGCGGCAGGTAGCTTAGTGGGTAAGAGCGTTGTGCCAGTAACCGAAAGGTCGCTGGTTCTAATCCCGAGCCGACTAGGTGAAAAATCTGTCGATGTGCCCTTAAGCAAGGCACTTAACCCTAATTGCTGATGTAAGTCGCTCTGGATAAGAGCGTCTGCTAAATGACGTAAATGTATATTAGGTAAGTCTGCTACATGAGGATGTGTGTATCCATGTCATTGTCTACAGCGGTTCTACTGCTACACCACTATGGTATTACTACTAATACAAAGTCTCAATGACACTTCCAAGTGTTGTTACAAATGTCACTGATCTCTGTTAACCCAGAACTGAAATCTTGCATGATTTGGTCAAATCAAATTTTATTGGTCACATGCGCCGAATACAACAGGTGCAGACATTACAGTGAAATGCTTACTTACATTCCTTAACCAACAGTGCATTTATTTTAAACAAAAAAAGTAAGAATAAAACAACAACAAAAAAAGTGTTGAGAAAAAAAGAGCAGAAGTAAAATAAAGTGACAGTAGGGAGGCTATATATACAGGGGGGTACCGTTGCAGAGTCAATGTGCGGGGGCACCGGCTAGTTGAGGTAGTTGAGGTAATATGTACATGTGGGTAGAGTTAAAGTGACTATGCATAAATAATTAACAGAGTAGCAGCAGCGTAAAAAGGATGGGGTGGGGGGGCAGTGCAAATAGTCCGGGTAGCCATGATTAGCTGTTCAGGAGTCTTATGGCTTGGGGGTAGAAGCTGTTGAGAAGTCTTTTGGACCTAGACTTGGCACTCCGGTACCGCTTGCCGTGCGGTAGCAGAGAGAACAGTCTATGACTAGGGTGGCTGGAGTCTTTGACAATTTTGAGGGCCTTCCTCTGACACCGCCTGGTATAGAGGTCCTGGATGGCAGGGAGCTTTGCCCCAGTGATGTACTGGGCCGTACGCACTACCCTCTGTAGTGCCTTGCGGTCAGAGGCCAAGCAGTTGCCATACCAGGCGGTGATGCAACCAGTCAGGATGCTCTCGATGGTGCAGCTGTAGAATTTTTTGAGGATCTGAGGACCCATGCCAAATCTTTTTAGTCTCCTGAGGGGGAATAGGCTTTGTCGTGCCCTCTTCATGACTGTCTTGGTGTGTTTGGACCATGATAGTTCGTTGGTGATGTGGACACCAAGGAACTTGAAGCTCTCAACCTGTTCCACTACAGCCCCGTCGATGAGAATGGGGGCGTGCTCAGTCCTCTTTTTTTTCCTGTAGTCCACAATCATCTCCTTTGTCTTGGTCACGTTGAGGGAGAGGTTGTTGTCCTGGCACCACACGGCCAGATCTCTGACCTCCTCCCTATAGGCTGTCTCATCGTTGTCGGTGATCAGGCCTACCACTGTTGTGTCGTCGGCAAACTTAATGATGGTGTTGGAGTCGTGCCTGGCCATGCAGTCATGGGTGAACAGAGAGTACAGGAGGGGACTGAGCACGCACCCCTGAGGGGCCCCCGTGTTGAGGATCAGTGTGGCAGATGTGTTGTTACCTACCCTTACCACCTGGGGGCGGCCCGTCAGGAAGTCCAGGATCCAGTTGCAGAGGGAGGTGTTTAGTCCCAGGATCCTTAGCTTAGTGATGAGCTTAGAGGGCACTATGGTGTTGAATGCTGAGCTGTAGTCAATGAATAGCATTCTCACGTAGGTGTTCCTCTTGTCCAGGTGGGAAAGGGCAGTGTGGAGTGCGATAGAGATTGCATCATCTGTGGATCTGGTGGGGCGGTATGCAAATTGGAGTGGGTCTAGGGTTTCTGGGATTATGCTGTTGATGTGAGCCATGACCAGTCTTTCAAAGCACTTCATGGCTACAGACGTCAGTGCTACGGGTCGGTAGTCATTTAGGCAGGTTATCTTAGAGTTCTTGGGCACGGGGACAGATGCTTGATGTTTTACGTAGTCTGTCCACGACAGATTACAAAAGTCACATTGGCACAGTGAGGCCCCACAACCTTGTGGTCACTTTTAGACAACGTTGTGTGGTGAGGACAGCACCTTGAGTTCGTCAGTGATCTGGCTCCATTCATCTCCAGAGAAGCAGGCAGCGGTGGCTGGGTGAGGGGGGATGTCCTTTCTGAGGGCACGGCTTCTTGGGTCCAACCTCTCCAGACGACTCTCACAGAACTCTATCAGATGGGGATAGATACCCTCATCTCCAGATCTGTAGTAAAATGGCTGACTGTGAATTTCATGACATCTATCAACATAATACAGAGATGTTCACTTGGCTGGCATCATAGTCATCAGGAAGGAAAAGAGCATGTTGATCCCCATTTCCGTTCTGATTTTTTTTGTTGCACTATTTGTGCAACTCTTTTGTCCATTTCTCACTTAGATTGAGTTAGACTGTTATGTTCAAAACTACCAGCTATAGCCTAAACCTAACCTTCCTCTGAACCATTTACCTCAGCACCCTCAGCATCTTCCCCGGGTGTTTCACGTCAGTGCATTTCTCAATGGTAGCCATAGTCCCGGTGATCCACCGGAACTGCTGCAGCATGCGGGGTCTCAGTAGTGCCTGCTGGCACCTCTTGAGTTAGAAGTGAGGAAACTATCTCTGCATTCATGGCTGACCTGTTGACAACAGAAATGCCCATACATTAATAAAGCTACAAGCCTAGTCCCTACAGCCTGGGTCGTGCGACACTGTCTTTGACGACAATGCTAGCTAGCTAAAGTTAGCAGTTTGGTTTAATGTTACTAGCTAACGTTACTGTCAGTGAAGAGAATGGTTGAAAGCAATGTGAGAAGTCAATTTCCTACTCACCAGACAATAACCGTGTCACGGAGGAAATGAGAAGTTGTAGGTATTTAGCGAAATAATTACTCGCTACGATGTAAAGTTAGCTAGCGACCTGTGTGTGTCTCATCAACCGGAAAAAACTCCAAGCGATTCGTTCCTATAGTAACCAGTGTCCCGCTTCAGTTGCCGCGAGGGGGTGCGGTTCTGCTTGTTGTGCAAAGCGCCAAGTATATTTGATGC